GTGTGACCCAGGTTCTCTCAATGGCATCCAAGTCAACGTGCATTGATCGTGAAGGAAAAAAGGGTTGGATCCCTTTTATGCCGGGGAGTGTCAATGGAGTTGAAGATTGAACGATCAATTCTTGGTTGTTTGCTCAAAATCAACTTCCCCGATTTTCGCGGAGGCATCAATACGACAGTCATCGTCTCATCGGTCGCTGTTCAGAAAGAAGAGTGAAACATCGTCAGAAGTAATATAACGATTTATTATTGTAATATTTGTTTTCAGACCTTAGTTCGCTTATTCCTTTTATATGTTGGTGTAACAATAAACAAATCTAAAGCGGCAGATCAGTGTTTTGCTTTTTGCGTCCGTTATAACTAAGCGTTTCTGAGAAATCTTCGAAGAACAGCGTGGGCCCGAGCGTAGCGAGAGCTGGGCATTAACGGTTTATGAGACGTGATTGATAATCATACATAGCCTCCCAAACCTTTCACGTAACATTCTCATAGCCTCGGAGTATCCTTCGTTTGGTGGCAGGGATATACAGCATTGTATTGCCCTTGCCGCTGTACCAGTGCCATACCTCAATAAGTACATCAGCTTCATATCATTAAGTCCGTAACCACTTATCATAATTTCACTTTCCTTAACAAAGTGGAGATAAGCTGCCGGGTTTTCATCAAAACACCGAGGCTCGACATGGGTAACTTAGAGAATCCGCTCTCCCTGTTTGACGTTGGATGACCACCCACCCTATCACTCATAACTTCAGAAAACTTATCGCAAACATTAGGCATGTCATCATCACTTACCTTTTTGTCTGCTTCCACACCAAGTCTGAGTGTGTTGGAGTAAACATGTGAACGAGAAAACTTGTTTGACGAGCGTCATATTTTCATCGAAGACGTCTCGGTTTACAAGGTGAGACCAATGTGATCCACACTATACATTGCTAATGTGCATTATCATTCCTAAGACTAAAACTCTTCCCTGTATAAACGTTGTAAATGCGTTTCTAATGGTTTATTATCGTTAATGGCCTCATGTTCCACTTTTCAGTTTCCCAGGACAACCTTCTCTCCCTGAAATATATTTCAACCACGTGTGGACATCGCGTTTGCTTCAATATAGGTTGTCCGTTGGTTGACTGTAATCACCACCAGGAAACAAAACGAAGACTGTTTCCGCTCAGCCTTGATGATGACCTTGATGATGGGTTTACTGTTCAGTATATACAAGGAGATGTTCTGATTACTTGTATAATAATTCACTTCTTCATACTTTGGAAATGGTGCTAATTTATCGCTGTTTCACGAGTGTCATCTGTACCATATTTGGTCGAGTCTGTAAAAATTGCATTCATTTCATATAAACTTATCTGCTAATGCTAATTATAAATCATTGTTACTTTGAATGCACTGAAGTCGAGGGGACTGCCACTCTTAGTGGACAATGAAGATGTGTCCAACTGTTTTTTTAGATTACACTCGCTTGAAATGGTCATAATCTCTGGTAATCGCAGGTAGGCTTCTTGACAACACACCCATTAAAAAACCCGACCTTTTCTGTCGTGATTGCGCTGTGTTTGTTGGCTATCTTAATGTTGAGTCCCACCACTTGAGGTTGACTATGAGTGAGTGTTATATTCTCTCCTCTTATATGTTTGTAAATATTGTCCACTGACTATTACGTTCTACATGTAATACTGTTCGGTTCACCCTACACTTCCATGAATGATAGTTGTGTCTGTATCGCCAACCTTGTGATACTGTATTGTTTCACTTGTATTTCAGAAACAGATAGAGTTTATATCAGTTCACCTTCTGTTTGAACTAATGCAAAGCCTAGAATCTGCGTCATCAGTTTTGATACTGAGAACAAAAACCTGTTGTTAGATCTAACCATTCAAAGTTTCGAATAGTAATTCGTCAGATGCAAAGTACGATCCCATGCCAATGTTATCTTCACAATCGGAAAAGAGTGGTGACGCAGATACTGCTAGACTTGTTGATTGTAAATCAAAAAGTGTGGAAAAGCAATAAGTAGAAAATTGGGCGTGTGCCTCATTCAAAAGGGAAATTGAGTCAGATGGACAATAGCAATTCGCGAATGCTCCGGCAACAGGAAGTCGCCTTATACGCCTTCCGCATCTCATGCAGCTGATATACTTCCTAATGATGAGTTTTCCAGAGTTACACTTAAGTTATTGGATAGACCCAAAAAAGAGGCCGTTGAATTTGATGGCAATCCTATAAATTAGTGGAGTTATATGAATAATTTCGAAGGCTAGTGGATGATGTTGCCTTTGGATATAGTACCAAACTGTATTAATTGGATCACTACTGTGATGGGGAGGCAAAGTGTGTTATCAAGCGCTGTTTTGCGTTCAGAATTAAGAAATCATACCATAAAGCCTTAGGGGAGACATTTATGAAAAGCATGCAGCCGCCCGACCCTTTCAAGACAAACTTCTAGATTCCACAGCTGTAAGAGATAATGACTGGGTACAATTGAAAAGGTCGCCTCGTGAGAGAAACCAGCGTGAAATCTAACGCCTGAGAAAATGAATTATGTATCGCATCTGAATTATTGTGGGAATGCTGAAAGCCTAACACTGTAACGTACCGTATATCCGCAGAGATGGTGGTAAAAAGATGACTGCAACATCATCAAGAAAGGTTGTGAGCCATCGTTTAGCTATTTAAGTTTATTCAGCAATGGGCGGTCTGTCATTGTCCTGGTCTAACTACACTGGACTTCACACCGTCCCTGGAAGACTTTCAGGAACTGTGCTCAATAACCAACGCAAAAATCAGAACACAAATTGGTGACTCAAGAACCCTTTATTCTTGCACCAATACAGGGCCAACCATTAGGTTATTGTACACAAATTCTAAGAATAGATGTCACAACGACATATCATAATAATACATCTGATAGTTTTTCTCTATCTTCCAACGAACAGCGAACGATGAAACGATGACTGCGGTATTGATGACTTCTACTAAAATATAGAGTTGAGATGAGCAAACAACCATGAATTAGTCGTTCATTCTTCAACTACACTGACACGGTCTGTTTTCGCTAACACCAATTATGAGCTGCTGATTAATGGACATTCCACTGGAGGAAACATCAAGTGGATTGATGTCGCCACGAGAAAGTACCCTCGTCCAGATTCCAAACACCGACTATTTGTTACTTAGCCCTCTGAGAAACCGACTTATTGTCCCACGAGCTAGCCGTGGCTATTCATCACACCCGTACATTATGCTTAGGAGAATATTTGGTTGAACGCCATCTATCGTTTAAAAGCAAAGTTCTTAATAAACATTTGGATTTCGTTTCCAAGAGAAATTTATGTGACGCTTATTTAAAGGCAAATAATATAGCGAAGAACTGCTGCTCTCCAAGATCCTGTGAGGTGGAAGGCTGTGGTTAAGGACACCGTACGATGTTACACAGAGTGCAGAGATTATCCAGTGGAACATAAATGAGGTGTGGTGACATGAACTTGTGCAAGAATATGACTTGTGATGTAGCGTCCGCAACAGTGCCAGTTTTAGTTAGCCATAACGGTAAGGTTTTTGAAGCTGTGCACTTTTGGACGGCTGATCGGACTCAAAGTTTCTCGGGTAGCATCAATCAGGTTAATTAAGTCTAGAAGGAGTGAATAAAATGATTTCTTTTGAGACACTGGGCCCTCGACCCACAATACCCTACATGTGCGTACAAACAAATGTCCCTCTCCTAGATTTCTACATTTGTTACTGCCTCGAAGGAGCAGACAGTATAGAAACTGTCCTAATTGGAAACAATTGTGCAAACAACAGGTCAGATGGCATCACTGAGCCACAAAAATGAAATATTTCTACCAGAGGTCAGCTATGAAGAGATCTAGATGTTTATTGACTGTAACACGTCAGGGGCACATACAAACACTGACCAAAGGTTACGAAGAGCTGATGAATCTCGCTCCATAAAGTGTGGTTTGGGGTGAACGCCACTGGGACTATACAATAAGACCTTTGTAGGAACTAGTACGGTAAATTATGCCTTACCTACAGAAAAACGGGGGTTATGTCCGGATGGTTCAACAAAAACGATTTTGACGACGCGAGTAGTTAGATATACAAAGATTTTTAGAAACTGGAACATTAATTATCCAAACAGAGCACATATACTGAACAAATCAAAGGCAACACACAAGTCGTTGGCACAGTGGTTAGGACTCTCGCCGACCATGCACATGTTCCGAGGTTCGATCCCCTGCCGACGCACACCTGATAACTATGGTCGGCCTGCGAAATTTGGGCTACCGATATCCATGCTGAAAATTCCATACTTGTACCAAAAATACAGTGTGGAATCAAGCTGTAGTAAAAAAAGTCTAAATTCAGTGAAGATGGGTGAACCAACTCGTCTTTTAACTAAGTGGTAATATTATTCTCAAACTTAACAACAAAAATTTCGGTACTAAGATATTTTGATGCTTAAGTGAATAAAGACAGATCATGTGATCAGGCAGAAAATTTAGCAGAAACCACAACTATTATAAGTGCAGGGTTATCTATAACGAAAAATGGTTTCAGTGAACACAAAGACGACGTGTGAAATTTGGACGAGGATGCTTTGGTTATGGAGTTTGTGGTGCACAAATTGTCCATCGAAAGTATTGGCAGTTTTATTTCTGGAAGGCAGGTGCGTGAATTTTTTAAAGGCATCTGTTTCCATTAGTGAATGGTCTAATAAGTGTTGGAGTGACCATGACGTAGTTCGATTTTCAGATTCAGATTTATTGGTTGAGAATAGAAGACTGGGAGCCTAAACTACCGTTTGTTTGTAGGATCTGGGGAGAACATCCCCAAATAATTCTCGAAAAACGGTATTAGCATAAATTCTTCAATAAAGACAAATATACTCGTCGGCACACTTTTGTCTACCATTGGACATTTGCAGCGTAGGGATTGGCGGCAGTATTTGCTTACTTCGCGAGGCGGGCTGTTAAGGTTCTCAGCATGGTTGTCTCAAAGGTATTGTTTTAGTCCTAATTACGTTTATTTGCAAGACTGTTCCCAAGCCTAAGACCCAGAAAACTCCCTCTAAAAAGAAGCAGGCTGTAAAGTTCAGCATTTGTAGCTCACCTGGAGTTATCGATGAAGATATCATAAGCCCAGCTCTACTTGTACGTATTGCTTATCACCGTAACATACATTTCTCTTTAGGAAAAATACTTGAAGGAGCATATTAAAGTGAATAAAAAGTTGAACAATCTGGGTAAAGATGTTCACATTGATCGAGACAAGTCCACCATAAATGTAACATCCAACATTCCATTCTCTAAAAGGTACGTCTTCATGTAGTTGCTTATGCTGGTCCTTAGGTATTTGAAGTACTTGACAAAGAAGTTCTTAAAACGTCATAAGCTTCGTGACTTCCTGCGAGTAGTAGCCAAATCAAAAGACTCCTATGAGTTACGATTCTACAACTTCGAGAATGAAGACTCTGATGACGAAGAGGAGAATTAATTGTTTCATATAATATAAGTATGGTTGCTTGTCAAAATCATATTTTTTATGTTCGTGCATTGGATTCGTCCAGTGCCGTGGGTGGTAATGAATGGCGATCAATATGTAGGTCCTTTACTTGTACACGAACTGGGTTATTGTTTGTGACTGGTATCACACTGACGTTTTCTCATCAGGCGAGAGCATGAAGCCTGCTGTCGTAATGCGTTATTAAGTGGTTATTAGAGCTTTGTGGTGTTAACCTATCGTGGTTGGTAAGGTATTCTTGTGCTTGTAAACCCATAGCTCTGGTTGGGGCACTTGAAACCGTTGAGCTGCATATACAGGAAGGCGGCACGAGTGGTCGCAACCCTATTCTCCTTTTCGAAGAATTTGTAGTGAGATCACATTCCCAAGACACGCTTCATTTCATATGTATAATTTTATTAGACTTATTACAGTAAAATATCTAAGTCTGATGGGGGTTGTTTCGAATATAACTTATTGATCAGTCTAATCGGTTGTTATGTAACTGTGAACAATATATTGTTGGCTCTTGCCAGCTGCCTGCAACCTTGAACAGTTTTTATATCACCAAAATATTTTATTATTGCATTATTTGTAACAGTAGTGAATATTAGTATCACGTGATTAGGTAGCATGATGTCCTCACCAAGGCAAATAATTGTATGCTACGGAGTAACATTACCAGTGTGCCTGCTCTGTACATACGTCAGTTTGACGTTAAGAAATGTTCGGGTGGCTGAATAATATCAGTGATTAGTAGGAGCTTGTGCATATAGTATTCTTTGTCAAATGACATTTTTATAACATTATAGTTAGGTGGAAGTGGCAGTACTTACGGCCACTTACTCACCTATTTGGTCAACCAAATTAATTCTTTCAAGTTATTCAAAACCGGGACTGAATTTCTTTTCTCACGGTGATGAGTCACACTGTAGAGACTTATGGAGTAACCAGATCACAGTAGGCTAAGCGTAGACTAAGCACTGGACTCATTGGCTACCTGAGGGTTGAGGAGACTATTGCACCTCATTGTCTTTTACCGGTCTTCGTGTTCAAATACTACTCTACTTAATTCAACCTATACCGTTGAGCAGTCTCAAAAACCTTCACAATTGGAGTGCTTTGTAGCATGGCGAATCCGTCTCTGCTAACTACATTCTAACTGGTTTGATTCAAATATCTAGAGTTTGGATTGATTTTGTGGAATGTTGTTGCCTTGCCCCAGGCTTGCATAAACAAATAACGTGACGAACAAGGGAAATGCTTTAACGAAATTGTAACAGGTTTAACATTTTGTGTGGCAGTGGTCTGTCGTTGCTGATCAAATATGTGATGAAAAAGTGTTAAGGATATCTAGCTTTTACACACATTAGTAAATTGTATGACAACCTGGTAGTGTTAATAAGCATGTTTCAAAATGTCAAGGTACGCTTTGTTACTACTCGTGAAACCTGTATTGGATTTGATGTGACATTTGGCAGTTAAGTACACTTATCATTTGAGCTATTTGAAAATGGCAGTATATCGGGGGTGAGGCGAATGTGACTAGACAAAACCGCAAGAATCCCTATCCCTCATTATTATTATTATTATTATTGTATCCTTTAGTTCCTAGAGGAACATAGGGCTTCAGCTGCGCACCTCCATTGACTTCGGTTTTCTGACAACTTTTTCACCCTGCTCCAGGTCTGCCCACATGCTTTCATCTCCTCCTCGCATGACCTCCTCCAAGTCACCCTTGGACGACCAACTCGCCGCCTCCCTTTCGGGTTCCACTCGAGGGCTTGTCTAGTGATGTCACTTGATGGTTTCCTCAGCGTATGGCCAATCCATCTCCATTTCTTTCTGCCTATTTGTTTCACAATCGGTTCCTGATTGGTTCGCTCCCAGAGATCCCTGTTGCTGATCTTTTCTGGCCATCTGATCTTGAGTATTGAGCGGAGACAACTGTTAATGAAGGTTTGAAGTTTGTTTGAGATGCTCTTTATGACTCGCCAAGTCTCTGATCCGTATAGTAGCACTGACTTCACATTGGAGTTGAAAATCCGGATCTTATTTTTGATGCTGAGTGCTGTTGACCTCCACACAGATTTGAGAGTAATGAAAGCTTGTCTTGCTTTTCCGATTCTGGCTTTGATGTCCTCGTCAGTTCCGCCTGTAGTTGAGACGATGCTTCCCAGGTAGGTGAAGGAGGTTGTTTCTTTCAGGTTCTTCCCATTTATGCTTATTGTTGTCTGTTGTTGTTGTTGATGTTGGCTAGGAATCTTCATCATCTCTGTTTTATCTATGTTCACGTGAAGTCCTATCTTTGATGCTTCTTCTGCCAACTTGTTACTTTTCACTTGCATATCTTCCAGTTTATGGGAAATCAGACATATATCATCGGCGAAATCCAGATCCTCCAAGTCTTTTGTGTCAGTCCATTTTATGCCTGTTCCCTCGTTGGTTGCCGTTGTCTGTCGCATTATCCAATCAATTGCAATCAGGAAGATCATTGGTGATAGTAGACAGCCTTGCCTCACTCCCGTCCTCACTTCGAAGGCTTCCGTAAGTTTCCCGTTGTGGATTACTTGGCATGCAGCATTGTCGTATAACTGTTGGATGAGATGTATAATTGTCGATGGGACCCCGTAGTAGCGAAGTAGTTTCCAAATGACCTCTCGATCGACGCTGTCGAAGGCCTTTTCAAAGTCGATGAAGTTGAGATAGAGAGGTGACTGCCATTCCAAGCTTTGTTCAATGATGATCCGTAGAGTGGCGATTTGATCAATACATGATTTGTTTCTCCTGAATCCAGCCTGTTCCGGACGAAGTTTTTCATCTAGGGCTTGTTTGATTCTCTCCAGGATGATGCGACTTAGTATCTTGCTTGGAATGGACAGAAGCATAATTCCACGCCAGTTTTTACATTGACTTAAGTCTCCTTTCTTTGGAAGTTTGAATAAGTATCCTTTCTTCCAATCCTCGGGTACTTTGCCCTCTTTCCACACCTTCTCCAGCAGTGGTGCGCTGTTGTCTCTGGGTCTATTTTCAAAGCCTCTGCTGGGATTCCATCTGGTCCCGGTGTTTTCCCAGCTTTTAGCATCTTGATTGCATTCAGGACTTCTGATTTCGTCGGGGGGTCAGTGTTCACTGGTAGTTCTGCTTCCGTTGTTGGTATTGCTGGACGTGTTGTAGGTGGCGGACGATTTAGAAGTCTTTTGAAGTGTTCAACCCAGTGCTTTCTCTGTTCCACCTCTTTGGTGATTGACTTTCCATTGTCGTCCTTTTGCTCGAAAGGTGCCTAGTTGTTTGGTAGAGTGTGGCGAGGTCTCCTTTGCCTGCAGCTTGTTCTGCTTCGTTTGCCATGGTTTCATAATATTTTCTTTTGTCTTCCCTGGCACTCTTCTTCACTCTTTTGTTCAGTGTATTGTAGCTTGCATTCAGCTCCTGTTTTTGTTGCTCGTCAGTGCACTGGATAATCTTTTGCTTCACTGTCCTTCTCTCTTCTATTAGTTTCCAAGTGTCCGTAGTGAGCCACTGTTTGTCCTGTCTCTTTTTTCTGCCTAGAATTTCTATGCAGGTTTGGCTCCACACCGTTTTCAAGTTGTTCCAGTGCTTTTCGACGCTGACCTCTTCGCTGGTGTTGATTTGTGTCTCGGCTTTGTCCTTTATGCTTGCAATGAAGATGTCCTTTGTAGCCTGGTCCTTCAGCTTTTGAGTGTTGAACTTGGCTTGTGGTCTATCTGCAGCTCCTGATTCCCTGAAAGCTTTTAATTTGATTTGGATTGTCCCTTGTACGAGATAGTGGTCTGAGCCAACGTCTGCTCCTCTTCTTGCTTTTGTGTCCAGTAGGCTGCGCCTCCACTTCCTTGAGATTGAGATGAAGTCGATTTGGTTTTTGGTTTGCCCGTCTGGTGACACCCATGTAGCCTTGTGGATATCTTTGTGCTTGTATACACTGCCACCAATCACCAGTTCGTTGAAGGCGCAGAAGTCGGCGAAGAGTTCTCCGTTTTCATTCATTTCTCCTAGAGCTTCTCTACCCATGATGAGTTCCCTTCCTGTATTGTCTGGTCCCAGTTTGGCGTTCATGTCTCCCATTAGTATTTTCATGTCGCCAGCTGGAGTATTGTCCATTGTTGCCTGTAGTTGCCTGTAGAATTCTTCTTTCTTTTCGAGGTCTGCGTTGTTTGTGGGTGCATAACATTGTATGATTGACACTTTCCTTCCTTTGGAGTTGAACCTGGCGGTCATTATCCTGGACGAAATCGCCTCCCATTGTATCAGGGCTTTCGTTGCCGTTGGTGACATCATGATAGCCACGCCCTCGGTGTGCGTGTGGTTATCTTCTGGGTGACCGGAGTAGATCACTGACTCACCTGTTGACAATTTGGTGAGTCCACTCCCATTCCATCTGCTTTCACATATTCCCAGCACTTGTATTCCGTATCTTTTCATCTCGTTGGCGATCTGGGCAGCTTTCCCAGTCTCGTACATAGTTCGGACGTTCCATGTTCCTACACAGACTTTTTCTTTTGGTGCAAAGAGGTTCATTCTGCTGAAGGTTCTGTAGCAATTTTTGTTTACAGGGTGGGGTTGCTAGCCTCACGCCTGAGAAAAGAATGATTACATTAAGTTAAAGTTTAGAGAGAAGCAACTTTTTGGGTTGCTCCCCTCAAAATCAGAAAATAACGGACAAACAATGAGAACAACATCAACAAAGGAAACAGTTCACAGAAAAAAGGGCAAAAAGCGACGACAACTATATAATAAGACAACATGCAATATAGTTCAGCACAGTTAACTAAAATGATACCTCAACCATTTGATTTTTAAAAATCTTATATAATTTATGAGGTAATTAGATGCAATATACTGTAATGCACGCTGAAAATTCCATACCTGTACCACAAATACTGTTTGGAATAAAGC